GCACCTTGTCTGAACAGAAAAAGATTGGAGACTTTTGTAATTACGATCTGGGCTTTTCCCCTCATCCTCCCTAAAGCTTAAGGCCTGTGGAACAACACTGCTGCTCTCTAGAGCAGGAAGGAGCCATGGACAGCAGAGACAAATCAGGTGGAACAAAACCTGTATTCAGAAAATCCCTAGTCCAGGGCAAGGCTCTATTCCAACTTGCAAGTTTGTCCAACGGAGATTCTGACAAAAATTAACAGTCTAATTTTGCAAACCATACCTTTCCCAGTGCAATCAATTACTAATTGTCAGAGTTTCCCAAAGAGCTGGAAACCCAGCATATATCACTGAGTAGCCCAGGGAAGCAATGCTGTTGCAGCAGCATTGACTGCACCAAGCTGCTGAACTCTTTGAATGGGTAGCATGAGCTTTGGCCACAAGGAGGGAGAGATTCTCAGCAATGTCAGCACAGCTCACTTTAACCAACTAACTCTACGGAAGGACAGGGAAAAGAACTGTATTCTGATCCACACTCCTGGGCCAGCCTTGATATTCTCCCCTTTCATCTGTCTTTACTTTCCTCATTTGAAAAAATGTTACAACTGTTCTTTTTATTTCAGGAAAAGTAGAAAGGAAAGTCTCAGCTCATAGTACAAACCCTATGATGTATCTAACATTCACATGCACTGAGTGACACATGCATCAGGACAGTCTGCCCTTCTTTCTCCTGTTTAGGTTGATAGCAACACAAATCACAACCAGCATGGTTTAAGCAGCTTGCTGTTTGCAACAACAAAGCAGGCACAGTACCACCCAAGGCAAGTCACTGCCAAGACTGGGGTGATAGCAAGAACCTTTTATTTAAGGCTGGAAGTTAAAAACATTTAAACCTTTCCTTTCCAAAAGTCTATCCACAGAATATCAGCAGTGACTGTGAATGGAATTATCCACATTTCCCCAAGGGTAGCACATAAAAGGGCTTTTTCCTGCTGCACTTTTGTGCTTTTGTTTTGCTGCTCATGTCAAGGACACGACATGGGAAAGGGAGGAGTAGACAGGATATGCTATATGAACACCGTTATTACTTTAACGTCGTATTTTCCAATGGGAAACCGTGTCAGGGAGGGGAAGAGTCTCATAGGAAGCTTTCCACACTCTAAGTCACAGGCTGGCCCCAAGCACCTCCCAGACATGTTCCCATGATTACGTCCTATTTCATGGCTGCCTTTAGTTGCTGGCTCATTTGGTTTCTCTTCTTTTAAAAGCTTCCTCTCCACCACTTCATGAGTAAATGTTATTTCTGTTTTGTTCTAACATCAGACAAATTCCTTAGGACAACAGCTGATTCCAGTCAAACCATTTCAAGACATGAATTTACCATTATAAACAAAGACAAATATAAGTAAATCCAAAGTAAACTATAAAACTAAAAGCACATTTGCATTGTTTACTATACTTACCATATACAAAGTATAGCAAGCAAAGCCGCAAAAATGTGTCATTTATTTCCACTTCTCATCGCACAAGTTCAAGCCAAGAGGCTACTAAAACTAAAATATTGGTTACTCATGATTTTCAGGAAGATGCTAACATTGATGCAATGTTGCCAAAGTGCATCGCTTTTGCCATAGCCAGCATTCAAAAGCAGAAGGAGCTACAGGGAGCTTTTTGTTATCCTTGTGTTGCTTTGAAACAAAATTATTTATCTACTGATGCCATATTTTGAAACCAAGAAAAACTTATTTTCTAATTTCCAGGAAATTGCATTTTCCAGTATTTTCCTTTCTAATATACACCAGTAAAAGACCATGCTTCTACTGAGTCTCCATAGGTATTTCTGCATGGTTCTCACCCCTGTAGAGGCTTCTGTCCTTGTTTTTCAAAACAACAAGTGATGTGAAAACTACATTTTTCATTTTCCTTCAGTCACAGTTAAAGGTTGGGGACAGAAAGAATGCCTTATCAACCCTGTTGGAAAAAGCTTAAAATTATATGCAAATAGATGAAAAGAAAAAAGTCTCAAGGGCTAGTACAGACTATCAGAGAACCTTCCAGAGTGTATGTGTTGGAATACAATCATGCACCATTTCCAGGATGGAGTCCTAAATATGTACAGAGGTGGCAAGTGTCCTATCATAAAAACTATTTAACAAGACAAAAAAATTTGGACTATTTTCCCTCTGAGGTTCACGTAGGTAGAATTCTCCATTGATATCTTAATAGGATCTTTACCTGGTTAAGAAAATTAAATCAGAAACAGAAAGGAAATAAATTATGAAGTTTGTTACAAGCTTCCATACTCTTACAGTCTCCACAGTCACAAAGATTCATAAATTATCTGCCTGTTCCCACATATCAAATTGACACTTCTGGTACTGCAGACACTAGTATGGTGAAGAAGCAGAAATATGCACCTGAAAATCTGCTACTTCTGAGAGAAGTTACTAGCTATGTGAAACATTTTTTACTTTCATTGGTTGGCTGATTTCTTAATCCCAAAATTTTTCATTTGAGTTTATGATAATTTCCTTTGAAAAGGAAGCATCTACCACTTTCAAATCCCTACAAATATCTATATAGTTTTTATATTAACTACCTCAGCTTTGCTCCTCCTCCCTTCAAGGTATACCATTTAAAATAATCTTATCTAGTTACTTCACCTGAATAGGCATTACATCTCCTCCTGTATTCTTGCAAAGATGTAGGTTTTCTTCTAGCTGAAGGCAGCACAGGCTGTTTTGCCATAGATCACTATATAAACTCTATCTCATAATCTGTACGTGCCATAAAAACAGAAAGCCTATTTAATGATGTAGTACATTTGATGTCATGTGTGCTTTAGAGTGTTACTGATAAGCAGCTTGGTAACAGACTAGCAGTTGAGATGTCTGTGGTCCAAAGGACTAAGAGCCTTACTTGCAGCACTGTACCATGAGGACATGCAGAACAGGAAGTGTCCAAGTAACTCAGTGCAAGCTGAACACATGGTGCTGCTAAGGACTCGCATCTGATAGACTGCTTAGATTTTAGATTAAAAAAATCAAACTAGCAAATAGAAAATCGATTGAATCTGCAAAACAGCATGCAGCAGGAAGCACAAGACCCAAGTAATTAATTAGAAGGGAAATATGAACTGGTATTTTGTGGTTTGCCTCTTCACATCAGTGCGGAACACACAATACCTGACAGCTTCCAGACTGCTGACACACCTGAGCAACAAATCCAGAGACGGAGTTACAAGCACAAGCAGGGTATGGTGCAGAGGCAGAAATTTTCACACTGTCTTTCTGCACAGCTCTCACTTCAGCAGCCTCGCTGTTTACTGTGATACCAAGCCGTTAAACCTACCCTGCCATCAGATCATCTGAAACTCACCTTTCCAATGACAGGCATTTTTATGTAAGCAAGTACTCTCCACACCTAGCATTTTCCTAAGGGAACTATTTTAGCCTTTAAATGCACTTTACATGGGACCTATGCCCTACCCTCCACACTGTGGCTGCAACACTATCTCCAGATGCTCTGAAGCCTAGACATCATACTCCTCACTATCCTCCCTTAAGCACTAGCAGTGAATTAAATCAATTCCTTTCAGCATTTTAATAAATGAAGCTAGCTGGTTTTATTTCGCAATTTAAAACATTTGATAAAATCAACTATTTTGCTGCTCAAAAGGTCAGAGTGAGGTATCAGTTACACAACTACCACTATAACTGCAGCTACCACAGCTTAGCAGTGCACTCTAGTATATAGAAAACACCTGACCTATTTTAAACTAAAACAGAACAGATTACTGTCAGAGGATGTACTTTGCTGTACATTTTACCTGCTCATACCCAGGTCTGCAATACACACACATTTATACTTGGACATTCCCTCAAATTTGAATGGCTTACTCTAGCCTTCTAAAGAACTGGCAGATCATTTGAGTACCTTGCAGCCATTGAAACCTCAGACTGTAACCCTCTCTGATCCTTAAGACCATATACTCTTACCACACACAAATTTTTAGATAGTCTTGCTAAGAAATTTAAATACCATAACAAAACATGCCTTTGACTCTTCGTTTCTACCATTTAAAAGAATTTTAGATGATGGAAAGAGAAAACAGGCAAATGTCAAGGGAAAAAAACTCAAGCAGATATTAAACACTACCTGGAACCAAATTCTATAAACAAAAGCAAATGTTAAGCTTTGAGACTCTGTCCTCAAGTAAGACTTAGTGATGGCACATAGGCCTCATCACTGTTGTTCAAAACTCACCTAGCCTTCTGACTGTATGAAGCAGTATGTTCCAGGCTTCCTCCTGAAAAGTGTTAACAGAAGGAGCAGCATTCCCACTCAAAAAGCTCAAGGATATGAAGCATGATTTGAGCAACCGAGTCTTATACATTATGTAAGCTCTGTTTACACTACATTATTGTAATGTATTCATTAAAATTAATTTCTACAAAACCGCATTCATCTAACTGTTCTTATCATTAATTAGAACAACAGCGAACAGAAAAAAATGCTGCATATTTAGGACGCATACTTGAAGTAAACTTATTTCTTTTATATAAGGTTTGGTAAGTTTAACTTAACAGCACTTCCAAAATGTTACAGCTATCCAGACAAAACAATATGTGCATTTAGCTAACATGTTTTAATATGTGACATTACTCAAACGTCATAGATACTTAATGGCAAATGTGCACAAACCCTCCAGCCATAACATTACGCAAGAATTCTCCACAACTGATGTACATGAATTCTAAATTTTCTTACACTTAAAGAGGCTGGCTGAATTTTTCTTGACCTTTTTTAACTAAAGTGGAGGATACTTTTTTTCTTCTGGTTTTAGTAAATCTTTGACAGGACAAAAATCTACTGTAGTCTGTTTATGCAAACTAGCATAACAAATCCCTTTTGCTATCTGCATACTTAAATCCAATCCTAAAAAAAATTAAGTAACTTCTTTTCACTCAAATGGCATTAACACTAATAAAAAATACTTAGTTAGAACATTGCCTTACCGTGTAAATGCCAATTCTACAAACAGCAAATGAGAGCTGGATACATTCAGACATAGTCTAAAGGAATTAAAATAAAGACATTATCAAGAATGCTATTTATTAAGAACTACTTTTCTTCCCATCCCTCTCCCCGAAAAGAAAGACCTTCTTCAAGGCTGTACTAAACAACTTGAGAAAAATTACATATAAATTCAGGTTATACAGATACATACTACCTTCTATACAGAAGCAGCCAAGTGTAAAGGTGTCAACACCTTCACATTTGCTAGTTTAGTATTTCATTAGAGGTCACAAATTACCTCATGATCCCCAAAATTCCTGTACACATTAATGATTTGCATGTAAGCTTTCAGTCTCATTTATTTTTATCTACTCTGATTTAAAAACACCCTGCAAGAATAATTTTAATGGAGTGCTTTTTGGCCTCTTAGTGTAAAGAGCCAAAACTGGAGAATAAAGAGCTTCTGTGTTTATATGTTACAGTTTTTCTCTCTCTTTAACAGCACTGAAACTGTCTTCCTCTATATACTAGAATAATGCATATAATTTAATGTTTGCACATTTCTGGTGAATTATTATTTCTTTACCTTTCTGATACTTTCATCCGCAAAGTAGAACATAAAAATAGAACATTTGATTTAATCTGTTCTTATGGTTGGGAATAATCATATTAAAAGTTTTTACCCTCAACTTGCTCAACTTCCAATCTGCTGTGATGCCACAATTCTATGTCTTCTGCAGTCACCCAGAGAGGCTGAGGATGGACTACGAATTTCTGATGAAACAGATGAAAAACACCTTCTTTAATTAGCACAACAAAGCCAGGAAATAAATGCAGCTCTCCAACACCAAAATAAAAACTATTGTATGTTTGCCATATTTCCTATACAACTAGGTAAAATAAACTAAGCTTACAATGATTTATTCAGAAGAGTAATTGAGGAATTACTTTAAATAAGGTATTCGAAAGACAAATCACCTTCAAGTGGAACATTTTTATTACGTATTTAACAAGTTCACACATTACCTAAGATAAAGTGCTGGATGATACAGACTTCAAACATACCTACCAGTCAAAACATCTTTTCAGCATCTGCTTTCTAACTTCTCCCTCCCTCCAAAAAAAAATAAAACCTTCCAGTTGAAATACCCATTCAATTAAAATTGGGATTAAAAAAAAAATAAAAATAATATATCTTATTAATTATAAGTAATGAAAAAATATATGTAGCAACATTTTTTTTCGCTGTTAACTGTTCCATCTAAATTTTAAACAAAAAGTACTGAACTGTCAAGAAGTTCACTGAACTGTCTGAAAGTAAAAAGCACAGCATGAAAACCTGAAAGCAAACTTCAACAGCACAGTTGATTTTTTTTTCTTACTGGAAGTAATCTAGCATGCTACTAATGACAAGGAAATGCTGATTTAAAACACCATTTCAGTTTAAGGAGATTTTTTTTCCCAGCTTTAAGACCAAACATCTAAGTCTATCTCTTGTGCTCTAAGCTTCTCCCAGAAAGAAACAAGTCACAGAGAAATAGGAACTGACTTCAAGAAATCCTACAGTTACACAAAGTGGTGGGGCAGGGTTGTAAACCATACCCCTCCTGACAGCACTTGCAGGCCTTGTTCCAAAGGTTCCAGGGATGGATGACTTCCCCAAGCAATTTAGTCCAGTGCTTCATTACCCTTTCTACTAGAAAGTTTCCTAATGTTTAACCTTGGTCTGTGGAAATTTAAGCCCATACTTAAACTCCATGTGATACATTGAATGATTTGCATTTTCAGTATCCTGGCAGAATCTATGTTGCTGGCAGACAAACTTTATATACAAAGTAAATGATTATTTCAGCTTGCAAGAGAAGTAAACATGCAGCAGCAGCAAACTATTAATAGCTTCTTCATGTATACCATTTGCTGCTTTTATTCTAGACAAGCACAGCATCATAAATTGTTTTCTTTTTTTAATTTTTATTCAGTACTTCCAGGCTGTACATTAGTGGGAGAACTAATCTGCAGTTCAAAGTCTCCAGCAAACCCCTGTACATCCTTGCTTCAGTAAAATAAAACAACCTACGTCCCCTGTTACCTTACTCATCTGTTGCTGGGTTTTCTACTGTTAACATTGTGAAACTACAGGCTATTATTATAAGGCATGAATTCTGTCACATACAGTACCGATGATTGCTTCCCTTAAGCATTTCCCAGAGAAATACTAAGATAATCCCTTCTTTAAGCCTCCAAGATAATACTCATAAACTACATTCTATTGTGGTAAAAAAGGTCATTAAACCCAATGCTACTATCAATATCTATTATATGAACTTATCCTTCCTTCTGAAAATTTACATTTCCTCCCCAGTAGTATTTCAGTTTAATCCTTGGAAAAGGGACAGGAATTGACTTAAATTATTTTAAGTTTAATGATACTATCCTTCAGACTATCACTCTGACCACAAAGTTAAGATATAGTTGATAATCTGTTGCTGCAATGGGGAGTTTATTCTTGATACTTGTAATCTTTCATTACTTTGTGCAATTCACTTGGGACCATACAATTCGGCAACAAAACAATTGTTGAAAAATTTGCATGTAATTTACTTACAGTTTATTGTTGCTTTCTGAAAGGATTTTACACGGTAAGCATGAAAATAAAAGAAAAAAAATGTAAAAACATACCTACAAATACTATGAAGGAGATATCTTGTTTGACACAATTCTACAGAGACTAATTCTTCACAGAAGTGACTTCACATGTCTAAAGTGAAAAACGGAGTCATCAGACCAAATATGTCAAACAATATATGCATGCATCACTGCCAAAAAGCACCCTTCTGCCTAGGCAAAGGGTCATCTCATTAAATAAACATTAAATAATATCTCCCACTGGAAAGCAAACTCATCACTAAGTCTCCCATTCACCCAAGACTTTGTTATCTTAATCATACCTTGTAAAAATGTGGCTCTTTATGACATAGAAAGATGTCTACCGTGCAGCTGTGCAACATTCAATTCACAAAAAGCATCTGTTCTATTTTTTCAAGTATTCAGCTACCAGTACAAATATCAGTAAAAAACAATTTCAGTATCTGGTGTTTAAAAAAAAAAATCTCATTCAGCTCTGACACAGGCACACAACACACAAAGCTATTGTTTTAAATAATATCTATTTCGTCAGCAAATACAAGATTAAATCCCTACTCATAATATTTACAAGAGACCAGATTTTGAAAAGATTAATTAGAGCATGTTCTGCAACTGCTGACTTCAAAGCAAACACCAAATTGAAAGCACTAGCCTCAAGAACCTTGGTGGGCAAAAGGGGACAGTGATCCTAATCAAGCTCTCAGAAAAGGACCGAACGGCTCACCACCTGACAGAACTGCAGGAGCCAGTCAATTCTGCCACCCAGCAGAAATACTCACCTCAGCCTCAACTCGCTGTGACAATCCTAAATAAACCAGAACACTGAATATAGCTCCAAGACCACAAAAACAGAAAGCAACACAAGAAAAGGAACACGTCAGAAGGTTTTCTCTAGTGATGTGTTTCTTTAATACACCTAAGATCAAGGTACACTTCTGCTCATTTATAATGAAGTGATACAACCCAGTAATCACTTTAAACTGCTGGATCTTCCAGGCAAAAGATTTTTCCACCTCTCTTCTTATCTGCATCTTTTTTAGTGTATAAAATAGCAAAAAAATAGCAATACAAGTGTATAAAATATGCAGGTTTTAAGGTACCTTTTTGTATGAAGCCTGAAACAAATTCTCAGTGCTTATATGTTTTAAGGAACATATGGGTACCCAAAAGCACACACAACAACACTACAGTAAAGGTAGCAGGAACTTTGACCAGAACTGCTGTTTACTAACCTTGTGTACTGAACTCCAACTAGTAACTCCAAGGCTCTCCTTTCTGCACAAGATGTCACAGCCCTCTAGCACATTCCATTAATAACATTTCTAATTTAAACTCCCTGAATTCCTTTTTAATACTGTTCTCAGGGATAAAAGATAGAGAAAATATTTTCATATTCTCCCTTAATGCTAAATAATTAGATTTCTATATTACCAATCTTCTTGTACATAATCATTAGAAAAATAAATCTTAGTCTGGAGACTAGAAGAAACGTGATGATGATGAAAAAGCAATGATATGTGAACAGGAAACAGGACTAGATCCAAGAACTCTCTTGTCATCATAAAAAGTAATCAAGTGGATGCACCAGAGAACAATGCTCTCCTCTCTTTTAGGCAATATTCTCAGTAGAACAGTTTTCCATTACTGTTTCCAGGACTGCAGTGGCTCAGGCAGTGAAAGATGCATATTAGCCAGCAGAAAATTAATAGCTGCAAGAACAGCATAGACGTTTCTCAAGAATTCTGGACCTTTTCTCCAGTCTTCCTAAAACCTGAAATTATGCAAGTTTCAGGCAAGAAGAAAGCACTGAGAAAAGAAATCACTCATTGTAGAGTGCATCATCTCTCTACACAGGCTATCTATACAGTTTCAGGTTCACTCAGTGTTGTGGGACTTACATACAAAGTCATAAATTTATTAAAACACAGATACTGGAAAGCCAATAGCCTTTCCTCATACATCAAGCAGATGGACTCCACTAGGTACGTGCCCCTGGAGCAGATTAAGTATTTTCATAATACCTCTGAATTAAAAAGTCTCACTTCCTGTTCAGTCAATGTAATTCTGATTACACTGGAGAGCACTCCTGGACACCACTCAGACTATCTCAATTCTCTAAATGCAGTTTCCTGTTCCAGAACTGATTCTAGCTGTTCCTTCAGTGAGGAATAAAGGATGTCTTTAGTTCACAGCAAAGCATCAGGATATCAAGGGTCCATACCTCATGGACCTGTCCTTATGTTCCAGTATTCACAACTTCAGGATTTCCTACCATCACACCTGAAACATCATGTTTCATACCCATCCACAATGGACCTCTCCTTGTTCAAATCCCTGGTCTATTCATTTTGACCTCCCCAACATTCCCGCACAAGTGAGAATTCAACTACACTCACATGCAAACACAGTTCCTGGATTATAAGTGTCAGTGAGTTCTATAGGGAAAAAATTGCTCACTGCCTAGTTACCCTCTCTTTCTGATTTCAAAGACATCTAGAATATTGCCTGCTCATACAAGTCAGCTGTCTCTTCTTCAGACTGAAGGGCTATAACTACTTATCCCTGCTTGTATGGAAGCAATTGCTTTTCTTCAATTACCACATCATTCCTTCTCTGTATTTTCTTTGGCTTTTTGATACTCCTCTTCAGATGATGCAACCATAAATGTAGCATGTAAGACAAGAGCAAACCTTATATTTAATCAGTGTAAAAATGAGATTGTTCACTCTTTTTCCTTCTTAATACTCTAAATTTGTTGACAGATGTCTGCGTTGAGATGACATTTTAAACAAGGATCCTCATTCCCTTTCCTGAGCACTGATGATATTTTAGGGCCTATCCATGCATCTGTACTGCCATGTGACTTCATCTATAAATATATGCAACTTTGCATGTATCAACACTGAATTTCATCTGCCATTTTATTAGGAATATCAAAAGAGATACTATGATTTTTTTCCTGGGTTCAATATGCATTCTTAATATTTGTCTCTGCATCAGCACATCCAAAGCATATGTAGTTTATACAACTAAACACAAACATGAAATTCCCTCATAATCTCTGCATTCTCTTCTCCCTCTTATTCACTGCCAGAGCATTGTGCACTCAATGCTCATTTGTATTTCTGATGAAATTTGTATTACAGATTAAAAAAATTACTCATTTTTAACTGCTTTTAAGTCTTTCACCTCTATTAGAATCAAAATCAAGTAAAGGAAGACTAGGGAATAGTTGTTGTAAAAGCTAATAAAATGTGGAAAACAGATGTTTCTTCCATAAAAAAGCTCCAAGTCATAACAAAAAAAGAAATCTGCAAACTTACTTCCCCCATATCAACAGTTCCTAGTGGATCTTGGAAACCATCTTGCTTACTCAGACTCTCCAAAGCCAAAAGCTAATGTGGGTCCTGTGAACAAATTTTTCTTCTGTTGCCCCACCACAACATACAGCAGAGCATCAAAGATTCATGTTCTTCCTACTGTTTGTTCTTATAAGCAACAAAGCTCCAGGGCAGGACTGTATCTAGCATAAAAGCACGTCAGCTACATTTCCTGCTTTGTGTCTCTTCCTCAGATAGAAGGAACTTACTTACACACTTGTTGGCAATTAATGTAGTTATCTTACCAGGTTGCCAGAGAGAAAAAAATAAATTCTGTATGCTGAAGAGCTCTGGCATGAGATGAACCATCTTTTATTAGATTGCAAATATCCTACTTATGTCCACAAGGACTTTTATATAGTCACAGTCAAGACAGTTCGCACTTCAGAAAGTTATGCTGCACAGAGTGAAAAATAGCAAAACCAACATACTGCAGAGTAGTATGAACCAAAGAAGCACAAGATTTTAAATACTGTTGTAGATTTTTATTTTTTTTTCTGTAGGGCTTTACAGCTTTTTGGGCCCACATTTATGGTTTTAAACTTAAAATGCTTATTTTATTAATGGAGAGCTAATATCCTCAGACAATCACAAAACTTCAGAACTCAGTTTAAGAGAATAAACATTGACAAGCTGGCAGTACTAAAAAACATGAGCTGATGATACTGACAATAAGCCAAAAATGTTAATCAGCATGTGGTATTAGAAGGAATATTTTGTCCTTACTGAATGCAGATATTCTCACTTATTAAAAGATTGCATTTCTAACCTTTTTTGAAATTCATCATCATGTTGCCTCAAGCTTGGATGTCTGACTGAAGAATTCAGGAGCAGCACACTGCAGAGCAACATGGTGTGGTAGTGCATAGCAAGAGTTGGCACTGAAGCTCAAGTATTCTTACTACATACTTCAGACACTAGTTCTGATCTAGGCCTGTGGTGTAAAAACCCATTAGTGAAGTAACTCTTTCCATCTGGTTTCATTTGAAAAATATTGTTCATGCCATCTGTGATCACTCTGCAATGCAAACCTATGACTATAAGCATTACCTTCTTCAATTAAAAGATTCACATCTGATCTGAAGTCTAATACAGTTGTGTGCACTGTTACAGATGTTTTCTTTCCTGCATTCAGCTATATCTTTATTTTGAAACAACTGTCAGACCCCTCATCTTTATGTCTAATCAACTTCCCCAACTGAAGGGAGGATAATAAAATAAAAACCCTTGTGATCTACAGACAGTGTAAATTTTCAAGGCTGTTATAGCTGATAGACCAGTCAACACAGAGCCCAAATAATACTTATTGTTACATGACAAAAGACAGAATTCACATGAGAGGGGTGTTAAGCAAACCGTAACAGGACATGGCCCTATGTACAGACCGTGGCTGCTCACAATGCAGGCAATGTATCAAAATTACATGTTTCAGAAGAAAAATACAGAGTTGCTTGTATGGACCTTTAGCTACTCTTCCTTATTCAAAGGACAGGATCTATGGGTTTACAAAGTTTCAGTGAAGTAAAACTCTTACCTTCAAACATAAGCCTCTATAAAACTTTTGTGATAGAAGAAAAAATGTTTCCTATGGCATGTAGATCCCAAACAACGGAACTGGCAACAGCATGGGAAAGACAAGATCTGAAGTATACCAGAATCACTAAGCGATCTTGATCAATCCCATATTGCCATTTGGCAACATGAACCTAACCCAATTAAATTAAAGAGTTAACTACTTAAAAGAAAGTTCTTAAAAGTAAGCAGCTCAAGAAAGAAAAGTTGTTCAGAAACATTTTTATTATGTTTTAGTATCACTTAACACTTTAAGAACACCAGTTTGGTATATGCAGCTTTCCTCAACCAAGACTTTGTCTGAACACTAACTATGTAGAATGTGAGGTCAACTGTTCAGAAACCTGTTTAGAAACTCTTAAGCCACTTAAGGCCTATTCACATATTCATCTAAAATTTGAAAATATAGCTCAATTTACTCAAAAACCTACCAAATTTTAGGTTTCATGTGCATGCATACAGGAGTAAAATAGTTTGCATCCACTAACAAGTGTCCAAAGAACAAAAAATAACCCACCCAAACTTGTTACAGTTGAAAAAAAACAATCCCAAACAAAGCAACAGGGATTCCAGCACACTAGGAGTGTGCACTCTCTTGATATTGCAGAACCCATGTTCCCACTTAACTCCTCAGAAAAGGGACTAAAAAATGAAAAGAAAATAAAAATTACTAAAGCTAAAGCAGTTGATCAGTCAAGAAGAGTTATCTTCCATTTCAGATCAGAATAGGCTCTTCAACACCTGCCCAATAAATATTTTTATATACAACTAAGAAAGCACATAGTATCTGGGGATATAATTTAGGGATAAGTTATCATAATAAAAATTATAAAATACAAAATTGAACAGGTTATCAATTTTTTCTTATAAACCTCTTAGGCTTACATATAACACCTTTCTTTTGTGAAGAGACACATTCAAATTTCTACATCACTCTCTCAAGCAGTTTTCTAAAATTCTACACAGATCAGGCTGATACATGGAACAGAAGCACGTAAGAACTTTATCTAGTGCAAAGGATGCCACTGAAGAAGTGAAAGCCTACTCAGGAGCTTAAAATCTGCATTGTAATTGTAGCACATAAGACAAACTGAAGTTTTTTTATAGTTTCCCCACAAGTTCTCCAAGCAAAAACTGCAAGACTGGTCACATGCCATACTTTTCACAAGATGTATCATGGCATAACTTCTTAAATTAAGCATAGTCTACTGAACAGAGGCCAACCAACACAAGTCTCTGAATACACTAGAATCCTTACACACACAATGGAGCGAGAATGAAGCTGAAGAAGGTTGCAGACCCTGCATTATGGAGTTACAAAAACCTATAAATCTACATTGATGCAGCACTGTTCACATAGTATGTTGTAAAAGTGTTAACTAAATACAAGGAGAACAACACATATAAGTAAAAGGTGCCTCTGAGTGAAGATGTATTATGTTTTTAGAGGCTGGACATGTTCTAGCCATGTTGATTAAAAAAATATAAACACCACACCACTCCTAACATTGTAATCATATCTCCACAAAAAAAGAAAAGAGGCACCAGGCTGAGGAGCCTCTTCTAGCTATCGAAGATACAGAGGTTAATGATACTTTTTTGCTACAATGTAAGACTGCAAAAACAGACCGGAGCATCACAGAAGATACTCCTTTAGTACCTATTTATTACCAAATGGCATTAGCCATAAAGGCTCACACTCAGAGTAGGGGAGGTTCTGGGTATCTGCCCATAAGTTTCAGTTCACAGTCCTAAGCTGGCTCCAACTGACTTCACTCTGGGAAGGTTTTGAATGTTTTCAATAACATGATGATATTGGAAGGTTATTCAGATGTTCAGTGTTTCCTGGGATCTGCTTTTTAATGGAAACTTAATGCTTTTAAAGAAGACATCTCCATCAATGTATTATTATTATCCAGCTAAAATCAGGCCAAGAACCTTCCTGTGCAAGTTTGGGAAGAGCTGGCTGAAGGTAGACTCCTTGTGGACACAGACTGACCCCTGAGTTCATGCAGCAGCAAACCTGACCTCATCTGTCCTCACCTCCTTCCACTAAAGTCCCTCACTCAGCCCCCACTGATAACCAAAACTCTGTCAAATACTCTGTCTCAGCACTACTGCAAGCAGAAAGAACTCATCCTTTGCTCTCTGCCTCACACTGCAAGCACAAGAGAAAACCTCACTGCCTGCAGGCTGCAATGCAGGTGCCCAACATGAGGAACCAGCAAAGGGACCTTCTGGTTGTGTTTTCATGCCCAGGTATGTGCAAGAGCCCAACATAAATGCACAAAACTTGAAATTCCTTAATATGTACAGCTCTTTTTGCTATGGAAATAATATGGAGACAATTGTTCTACAGCCATGGGTTAACATTCACACTATAACTTCAAGTCTTGCATAGGTAAAGAACAGGCCCATCTTTACAGCAGGGCAAACTGTGACAAGAAGCTGAAAATAGGTGTACACAACTATAGTCACCTAACTCATCATCATCATTTTTTTTTTTGGTAGAATAAACTTTCTGAGGTGCCTGAACCTCACGATCAATGAGGTTTTTTAGAATTGACACTAAAGAAGGCCATGAAATAAAAAAAGAAGAAAAGGATCAGTGGGAGAATAAGAGTCAGGGGAAAAAAAAAAAAAAAAAAAAGTAGAGCTAGTTAATCCCCTCCCCCCTTTAGTTAATACAAAAATGTGCTCTCACTTTGCAAGGCTTATTAAATTTGTTGTTCTCAGAGTGGCTGGCCTTCCACACAACAGCCTGTTGCAGTCACAAAGGTTAATGAAGGCATTTCAAAAAGTACAGAATGGCCAGTTTCATCTGGACGTAAGTTTATACAGGAAAAAAATATAAGAAACAGCTCCAGGCTCTCAAGGAGCTATGAGGCTGCACTTGATACCCAGAAAGTTTATTATCAGTATTTCATTAACTAGGTTCTTACAGAGAAGTCTGTCTACCATTTCTGCTACATAGGATTCCTTTTTTAGTGTTTCTCTGTAGTATTCAAATTCAGAGAGGCAAGCCTAAAACATTTTTGGGGGGGTGTGAGGCTCAACAAACCAAAATAAATCTTAGCTACATGGACACAAGAACAGTAAAGTATTTACTATTTAGAATTTAATGTATTATGCATTAATGCAGACAGACACTGCACGCAGCTCTCATCTCTCTCTGTTTTAATGAACAGAAATATTCTGTTCATTAAAAAGAGCATCTCCAGAGATTCTGCTGCATTTGATGAGCTTCTCTTGAAAGCCTACATCCGTGAGCATCCCGTGTGAAAAAGTACGAAAGACGGAGTCAAGATTCTGACTCCAGATACTTCCTGGTCGCACTTGACACCAACAACGAAGAGGGATGGCCAGAAGATGCCTGCTCTTCATTGCCTCAGCTGACGCTTCGCAGCACTTCACGGTAAAGGAGCGGGCATCAGTTCACAGCGCAGGGCTCGAAGCAACAAGACTGGAGCAATGGGATGCCAACAAGACTGGAGCGATGGAATGTGCTCGTTACGCCCCCCCACTGCTAGGCTGAAAAGATCAGGTAAGCAGGTATCACACTAAAACAAAGCCACCTGCTCATTAGCCAGTCGTGCCACAGGGTTTTTGCCAGCCGGGGGTACGCGGCTGAGTGCAAACACCAGCCACGACCCCAGCTGAGGTGCAGGCCCGCGATACGATCTTTCACAGACGAATGAAGCCAATATTCATTAAAGAGCCATAAACACTAGCCCCGAATACCAGCTGCCCGGGCGCTCGGCCGATCCCGCCCGCGGTAGCAATTTAGTTCACTGAAGCATGCCCTAAGCTCCAGCATTTAGGAAAAAAACAGCGACCCGGGTCACGGCTTTAGCAACCTAATAGCGGCCAAATGAGCGGGGCCCGGCCGCTTTATCGCCCGTTAACAGCCCGGCGGGCCGGGCGCGGCAGCGCGGCCGGACCCGCTCCCCCCAGCCCCGGGCTGCCCCCCGCACACCGCCGCGCCGCGGACGCCGCCCCAGCCGCTCGGTAAGATGTCCGACGGTCCGCTGCCGCCGGGAACCTACCAGGTAATCCATGTACCGGGGTGGCGCCGGGCGCCGCGCTCCCGAGCTCTCCGGAGGGGCCGCGGGCGCCCGCCCGGCTGACAGCGGCGCTGGGCCAGCGGGGGCAGCGGCGGCGCTGGGCAGCGGCGGGGCTGGCGGAGCGGGGCTGGCGGAGCGGGGCGCGGCGGGGCCAGGCGGGCGGGCGGGCGGGGGGCGCGGGCGCTGCCCCGGCGGCGCTGTCAGAGCCGCGCTGCCGCCCGCACCTCGCGGCGGAGGGAGCGGGGCAGGGGCGGGCGGGGGCGGGACGCGCTGTCAGCTGATCGCACACGTGGGGGCGCGGCCGGGCCGCCCTTAAAGGCGTAGGGGCGCTGCAGCCGTGCCGCTGCGGCTCTCGGGGCTTTGCCATCCCACAGCCGAACAATCTCAGAGAAGGAGCTGGGGAACGGACTGCAGCACAAGTCCCGGGAGGAGTACCTGAAGGAGCTGGGGGTGTTTAGCCCCCTTAGAAAAGAAGGCTCACGGGTGACCTTATCACTCCTTACAACTGCCTGAAAGGAGTCTTTGGCCAGGTGGGGGGTCAGCCTCTACTCCCACGCAACCAGTGGCAGGACAAGAGGACACGGTCTTAACCAACGCCAGGGCGGGTTTAGGTTGGACATCAGGAAGAATTTCTTCACAGAAAGGGTGATTAGATACTAGAATGGGCTGCCCAGGGAGGTTGAGGAGTCACCATTGCTGGAGGTGTTTAAGGAAAGACTGGACACAGCACTTAGTGTCATGGTCTAGTTGAGATAGTGGTATCTGGTCATAGATTGGATCGATGATCTCATAGGTTTCTTTCGCAATTTAATTGGGAAAGAATTCCCCTAAGCACCCGTGAAAGCAGTGCCCATGTCTCGTACTGCAACATGGCGTCCTAACCTGGAGGCTTTTCCATAAATTTGTGGTGTTACCAGGAATACCTGACTCCTGGAGAAATGGAAGAAAACTTCTCCATGTGTGTGACAGTGGGATCGGAAATCTAAAAATGAGGCATCAAGTGAAAGAATAAGGGAAAAAAGCACAGTGTAGTTAAAAAAACTAGGTAAGGAGCTAGAAAAAAAGAGGTGTACATGAGGAGCCAGAAGCAACTGGGAATCAGTATCTGTAAGGAGTTCCCCTAGATCTAGTAAACTGGAGTGGGAGAAGGGAAGTTACAATTTCTGCTCTGAATGTCGTAACTATATAACTATTTAAGGCCTGTTGTGGACAGTCTCAGTTACAATATCCAGACAGTGTTGGTAAGATGTTCCCCTTGTGCCTGCTGTTTTTGTCAATGCGTATTTTGTCAATGGATAATTCATTTTCCTCATACATCTAGTCTAGAAAAAAATTATTGCTTTGGCAATCCTTACTTTGGGATTCAATGTCAAATACACCTGCATAGCAAATTAAGTTTAATTTAGATGAGTGCACATGACCTTTTTTATTTTCAATAATTTAGAAGTTCACTAGTTTTAGGACTTTAATAGGTAATGGGTGGAAGGAGTGATACAGGCTTGGCCCTTCCTGTTATTCAACATTTTAACTGTTTTCCATGCACTCACAGCCACTGCTGGCAACCCTTGATTCTGAAATGTCCTTTTGACAGGGGGAACTATACTGTAAAGACTACTTTAGCCACTGCAGGGGTGGCTAAAGTAGGCCTCTCAGTAATAGAACACAGGAGCTGCAAGAAACTCTGATTTCATCATATTCTGTCATCAGATGTGATTTTTAACATTATGCAGTGTTTTCCCCTTACCCTTTAAAACTCTATTTCTTCTTTTTTAGCAGTAATACATCATTCTTGAGACTTGCTGGCTTTTGATGTTTCTCTAAATGATGAAATGAGACCCTCAAGAACAAGCAGATATTGCTGTTCCTGTGAGACAGATAGGAAAGGACTGGGAATTATTTCTTCTATAGCAGATTGAAAAGAAAATAGAATCTATGTGTAGAGAGTTGCTGCAGAGATGCTGCTGTAATAGGAAAGTAAGTAATTGGTTTTCACAGCAAGAAGGAAGATACAGTGCAGCTACTGGAAAATAATGGGAAGGATATTCAAATGTGGACAGGCATCACAATCAAAGCTAGTAGAATTTCTGAAAGTAGCCATAAATTATAATAACATTTCTCAGGTGCAGTTTACTTTAGTTGCTTAGCACTGATTTACATCTGGAGAAAAAGAACTAGAAGACTCCTCTGTTTTATATGAAGCTGATAGTCCCGATTATGAAGATGCATTGTGTTTATATATCACAATTAAAATGTTTATTCTATTTTATAAATGCAATCTTTTTTCTAGTTTATAAACAAGACCTTTTTAACTGAACACAAAATCAGTTAAAAAAATCAATAAATTTCTCATGTATACATTGAAAATCCCACAAACTTGATCAAGAGAGAAGCCAGGCTTAAATTTATGTATTAGTCATTCTATTCACTGTAAACACATTACTCCTTTGGCCAGTGTATAGCCTTATGGCACATAAATTTTATTACATAAAGTGGAGATTAACATTGAATAATAGCAGAATGTAAGCAGAATACAAGCCCTATAACACATGCCTTCCAGCCTACATAGCAGTCATGACGTTGCTGAGATTCTTCTAGCAAGTCCTGTTAGATTTCTTTCATCTAAAATGAAGTTCACTTTCACATTGGAATATATACCTAATGCAGTGTTAGTTATCTTCATAAAGAAGCTTGTCAGTGGGAACTCATATGTCAAGATAGGAAGGAAAAGATCAAAGTATTTAAATGGAGCAAACGTCATGTGTTGGCTGTGAGGTAATTAGTCTGGTTCCAAAAATGGAAGTGAGCTTATTCACAGAAGCACAAGTGAAATCCTGTCACAAGAATAATTTGCTGTAAACTTGTATAGAAAATAATCAATCTGTGACTCAGACTTTAACCCTGAGGAGTGCTGAGTGCAACATTTCATCATCCATTGCTTATGTTGGTGCAATTTAATGAGTTTGAACATTTTAACCTAAAAGTAGCACCTGACAAATTCAAGCTTTTGTAGCACTAGAAGTTAGCAAATTCTGGTGGTGAATTTGACATAAAAATGTGTTTGTTTTTAATAGATATCAGCAAAATGGGAGTTAAAAATGTTAATACTAATGAATATGCCTATTTCCAAACATATTTGAATGGAATTAGTGTATTTTTTTGGAATTGTATAGCCAGCTGTATATATGAGAAATTGTCCAGTGAGCATTATCTTGGAAAACAACTTGAATGACAGGCATTCTGTAGTACTTCTTTTAGTCATATTGCTTTAATTTCCAGTCTCACTAGTTGAATAGATTCTATCAGGATACTACTTCTGTAGAAGTCCTGCATAAAGCAGTGCTGCTATTCAACCAGTAGATGTACATAGGTATAGTGTTGCCACATTGTGGTTTGAATTACCTGAAAACTGAGCATTTTACAAAAGGTGCCGTAAAACAAAAAAGACCCAGTAGCACATTAGTGACTGAGACAATCTAAACCACTTTGCCACATGACAATAATTTCATTCAGTAAGAGGACAAAGTGCATGGTATTTTTCTTCTCTCCGTGCTCTCTGCATCACACCCAGTTTTTAACAGGGGAAAGGCAAGTGATTATTTTTTATTATTAGCAAGATGGTGGTTGTACTAATCAGCAGGTTTTACTAATATGAGGAGCCCTGATAGCTCTGTTTAAGAACATTAATTACTGGAGGGGGAAGGGTCATGGTATTTTACCTTCTAAATAAAGTTCAGAAGCAAGGCATTTATTATCTTTGAAAGTACTGAAAGAAACTACCTTACTCAACAACATTAGTTTTCCATGGTACAAGGTTGTTACAGCAGACATGCTCAAAGTCATCTTGGAAACTCATAGGATAGTTAGCAGGAAACCAAAACATAATTTTTACCTTCAGGTAAATACCATATACTTACTATAGAAAAATAAAATCTGTAGAAAAAACATAAAAATGTGGACTTCTTTGACTCAGGATGCTCATACAGTAATACAAAGGCTCCCAAATGCTACAAAATCCCTATATTTGTTATGGCTAGAAATTTAGAACTGGATGCCTTAGAAGGTACAAACTGTGGTTAGTTCAAGAATACAAATGATGTGATAAAACAGTCTCTGACTTCACTGGAAGAACAGACAAGAAGTTGGACCAAATAGAAAGTTAAGATTAGTTTGAAGAGTTCTGTTGTTCAGCAGCTGGAAAACTGATAGGAAAAAATACTTGAATGGTCTAATAGTAATAGATTTCTAAGTATACATTTTAACAATAAATGTGTGTGGCCAGTTATGACCAGAAGTATTTCCTAGAAATACCCAGAAGGGCATAAGGACGTAAAAAGAGCTGGACAGAGAATGAGGTTTTCATTAGGGGAGTTTGAATATTTAATAGACGCCAAGAGCAGTCAGCAGTTTTATTTGCAGCTCAAATTTCACTAAGTGACTTGGAGCCTGCTGTTAATCAAACTCATGTAACTTACAGGGAAAGGGAGAAGGTGCTCTGAGTAAATAATGCTTGAAGCAATTTGCAGCTCTTTATCTGATATATTGACAAATGTCAACATGCAGAGATACTACAGCCAAAGGTGAACGAACGCTATGAGAAAAGAAAAACCTCTCAGTCAGAAATCTCTTTCTCTTTGTTCAAATGCTTTGCTACCTTCTGGCATTTTGGTCACCATGTGTACTACGGTTATATATATTTTTCTGTAAAAAACACATGGATATGAAAACAAACAGATTTTGAAAAGGATTTTTCACCTGTTCTCCCTCTTCTTGTTTCCTGAAACATTTAGCTGACATTCAGGCAACCTCACTGGCAAAGTAACAACAGACAGTCCAAAAGCAAAGGTTAATGGTGGAACAAGGTCAAAAGTAGAAACCAGTTTCACACTGTAGTTACACTGATATAAATTTAGTATAATTAAAATGAATAATTAATTTAAATCTATGGGATATGAATAAAGTGATTGTAATATTACAGTTGATTTTATGTAGGTAATTTACTCCTTCCTGTGCACCAAAAATGTTACTGTTGATAAAATGATGCAAAAAAATTTGCA